CTAGGGGAAACAGTGTCTCCCCTAAACCCTTCTGGTCTCCCCTAGTGAGTTTATAGACAGTCACCAGGTCCCCCCTCAGCTTTCTCTTGTGAAGGCTGAACAGGTTTAGGTCCCACAGTCTTTCAATGTAGGGTCTGCGCTGTAGTCCCCAGATCATGCAGGTGGCCCTCCTCTGGACCCTTTCAATGTTGTTCACATCCCTCCTGAAATGGGGGGCATGGAACTGGACGCGGTACTCCAGCTGTGGCCTGACCAGCGTCGCATAGAGGGGGAGGATCACCTCCCTGGCTCTACCTGAGATGCACCTGTGGATGCACGACAAGGTCCGGTTAGCCCTGCCAACCGTGACCTCGCATTGTTGGCCCATGTTCATCCTGGAGTCAATAATGACTCCAAGATCCCTTTCTTTCTCCGTGCTTTCAAGAAGGGAGTTTCCCATTCTATAAGTGTGCTGCTGGTTTCTACTGCCTAAGTGCAGCACCCTGCACTTGTCAGTATTGAAACGCATCCTGTTTATGTCAGCCCACTCCTGTAACCTATCCAGATCTAGCTGCAATCTTTCCCTCCCTACTAGCGTGCTCACCTCACCCCAAATTTTGGTATCATCAGCGAATTTAAACAAGTTGCATTTCACCCCGTCTAATATTAATACATATTTTTAGCCCTTCAGCGAGAAGAATACAGTGGTACCCTGACTAACTAGCACTGTGTCCTGTAGCATCCTATTTCTGTCTAATGGTCTTCTGTCAAAGAGGACCACTTCTTTCCCCATCCACCCTTTTGAGCTTTGATCAGAAAAAAAACGTTGTTGAATTGTGTTGCTGTATGAATATAGGCCCAAACTTAACATGTTAGAGACAGTGGGCCAGAAATAAATATCCTACCTTAACAATTTCCTGGCTTGCTTTTTTAGTTTTCAGTCTGGGGGGTTTATTTGGGGATTTTGTTTTTTTGTGGGTGGAGAAAAGGGAAGGATGGAACAGGACTTAAGACTTCATATTTTGGAAAGAAAGCTGTTGTTATTGATGTACATGACTGATCTTTATTGTACAGGTTGTTCAAAAATACCAGACTTAAAAAAATTGGAGCAATTTTGCCCATTTTATTTTACTGTTTTCATTTTCCAATCATTCAGTCCCAAATTCACTTCAACCTCATGCAGTATTATGCTTCCATGCCTTATTATACCAAAAGAAAAGCAAAGCCAAGCACATACTTTTCTTGAGCTCCACACAATTATATAATTCACACAAAAACATATTATACTTGATGGTTTAATGCATCAGATCATAAATGCCAGCTTTCTTTGGCACCGTAAAATAAACAGAGACCTAAATACTTAAACTTTTGTGTTTAATAAACCTACTCAGTGTTGGAAGTGTTTTCATTCAGGAAGAAATAAAACATACCAGCAGGCACCACAGTGTTTCTGTTGTTTTAACTTTTTTTTTCTGCTGAGATTATAATGCAGGATGTCGAGAGGGTTTTGCATAATACCTCCCATTAACTAAATATCCTGTGTCATCTGCTCAGTGGTAATTTGCTAAAAGCAGAGACAGTGATGAAACAGTCTTATCTGAAAAACATAGATTTGTCTGGATTGTAGGATTCTTCTCTACAACTCAGACCCAGTGACAAAGCACAAGGCAGCTATTATGTAAAATATTTATGTTTCAATGTGTTATGTAACCTTCTCACAGCAGGCAAGCAGTCCCTCTAACATCCCAAATCGTTTGAGAAACCATCACCTTATAAGGACACTATTCCTGATGTCTAGAGTATATTTGCCTATAATGCGATTACCAGGTACTGCAAACACTTCCTGCTGAAAATGCTGCTTACCCAAGCATGACTAGTGAAATGACTGCTGTCTACATACATAATAGGGCTGTGCAAAGCTTTGATAGGAGATTTGGTGAGATTGGGCAAATTGAGAGACCCATTAAAACGTCCAAATCGACTTGGAAGCCTCTGAATCAGTTTGGAGAGATTTGGAAATTTGGCCACAGACTATACAGGCAGCAGTCCTTGACAATGCTGGACACAGCTGCCTGCAGCTGGTAAGTCTGTTATGGTGGGCAGAAGGGGAAGGGAAGAGGCATGGGGGGACAGATCAATGCCCCCACAGTGAGGGAGGGATTGAGGCTAGGGCTGGGACAAGCCACCCAGCCGCGGTGGGGGAGTGTGGGACTTGGAGAGGGGGGCTACTGCCACTGCGTGATGCTGCACACCACTACTCCTGAAGTTGCTCTTCCAGTGGCTCCTCTGCTGGCTCTTGTCACCAGTCTGGGAGGGCATGGGAGTGGATGTGTGCCCCCAGATCTGCACAGGGTAGGCTGGGCCAGGCTGCACTCTGGGAGACTAGCCCCAGCCACCCACCGCTGGGCTGCACTCCACAGGGTGGGTGGAACCAGGGCTGTGTTCTGGGCAGCTAGCCCCAGCTGGGCGAGCAATGGGAGGACAGAGCCCCTGCTCCCAGTGCTTTCCACCTCTGGTCTGGAGCACAGCCCTGCCCAGCCCACCCCACCCCACCCCACACAGATCCAGGGGCACACACCCGCTCCCATGCTCTCCCAGACCAGCAGTGAGAGCTTGATAGAGGAGGTACTGGAAGAACAGCTCCCAGACCAGTGGCACGTGGCAGCAAGCAGTGGCAGGAGCCCCCCCCCTCTGAGCCCCGTGCTCCCCCGCCCCGGCTGGGCAGCTTGTCCCAGCCCCAATCCCTCTGTCACTATGGGGGCGTTGATCTGCCCCCCTGCATGCCCCTTTCCTCCCACCTCTGCCCACCACAACAGACTTATCAGCTGGAGGCAGTTGTGTCCAGCATCATCAAGGACAGCTGCCTGCATAGTCAGGCAGAATCTCTGAATCAGCGCTGAATCTCCAGATCTGAATAAGCTGAATCGAATTGGGACAATGATTCGAATTACCGAATTGAATCACTGTCCCTCTGAATTGGCCTAGTCCAAATCCAAAGCAAATACTTGCTGCTTTGCACAGGCCTAATACATAAGGATTATTTGCATGGATGCAAGATTGGGCTTTAAACAATAAACAAAATCAACAGTAATTAAACTAAAGTCTTTACTAAAATAAAACTGTTTATTTCATTAAAATTGTGAAACATATGGAATGTTTTACTATAATGAGTTTAAAAAAATTTTTTTAATTCTATTAATTTTTACCATTCTTCTCTATTCAAACCCTTTTCCCAAATATGTGTGTCCAACAGATCTCACCCACATGGGTTTGCTCCACTAACATATAATGATGTATGCCCTCTTTAATTGGTATTTTAAACTTGAAACCTTGGTCACTGATGTTCAGCAAACAATATTTAAGCATTTTTCACTAAAGCTACTTAGGCCATTATCAGGGTTGCCAACCCAAGATTTTTACTAACAAACAAACTTTTTTACTGATATTTGTTTTACATAATGTAAATATAAGTCTTCTGGCACGTCCTGAAGATTGGTAACAAGGACCAGATTCAAATGTAGGGGTTTAATACCAACTTTCTATACCCTGCTTACTTTTGAGGTGAGCAGCCATAACAGGCAAGCAAAGGACACAGCAGGAACATGTGGCTGCAGTGGAGAGGAGGGGAATATAGAGGCTCCCATGGTCTATAAAACCATAACAGAGCTCCCTGCAGGATACTGTGTTGTTCTCCCACTCAAATTGAAGTTGGCATAGCTCTGCTCTCTCCATCAACACTTTGCATCCAGCTTCATTCCGATGACAGATTTTCAGTCCAACTCATGATTTCTTATTTTTTTTATGGACAGATCATGTTTTTTCCCTAACAGATGTTAAAGACAAGCTTTATTCACCCTTTTTATTTATTTTTTATTTTCTAGACTGTTCCCAAATTTATAGACACTCCTGGCTAAAGTCTGTCACTGGCAGTTTCCTACCTACTTATAGTTTCAATACCCTTCTAATTTCAATTGCATACATAATTCTTTCCTTATTGCTGTTGTTGTGTGGCTTATTCACAGTCACTGCTGAAAAATACCATGAAAAAGAGTGACTGTTTCCTGATGAACTGACTAGTTTCCTGGTGAATAAAATGTACATAGTGATGTTACATACTGGATAGTTTTAAAAAATGGGACATAAACTGCTCCATTTGGTACTTAAATATGTAGACATGAAAAAAATAATTACTGCCACCTACAAAGAAATGTAGACTTTGCAGCTAAAATGAATACTGCACCCTGGAGATGATCATGAGGATGATCTGGGATAGGGTGCAAAAATGGCAAAGCAATCAAGAAGTGGAAGCTAATGCATACTTTAGTACGGTGGTTACATGATTTCTCAATTTCAAATTTCATTATTGTATTGCAGGAGTAGGGTCTTCATTTTGGGGGGTCTAGGTTTTAAGAACAAAAGGAAAGAGAGGACATTTTCAAGAATGATTTGGAGGGACTGCAACTCATGCCTAGTGAAGCAAATGAGGGAAAGGATTTGGGTATATAGCAATTGCCACTAAAATGAGTAGGTAAATGGAAAGAAAGGGGTGCTTAGGGAGAAGGAAAAAAATGAGGAAGTAAAAGCAGGGAAGTATGATTTTAATTGTTTAGTCCAGGAAAATGAGTTTCAATTTCATGCAGAAGGTGAGAGAAAATTGTGAAGGAATTTTAAAACTGGCAAGATGCAGTCAGAGTACCTGGCAAAAGCAGCATATCTTTCACATAGTATTTTAGACAAGTTAGAGTGGGGTAAGGTGATACTCCTGGGAAGAGCAGACTACCATTTTCAATCAAAGATTATTTCGTTCTGGGCCAGTATTTTGACACTGAATGGAATTCTATATATATACTATGCAATGTTCTCTGCATTGGGGACTTATTAGGATGTCTCTATTTTTAGTTTTAAAACTTGTGATGCACTTCATAGAACTTTAGGACCCAAAGTTATTAAATAAATGTGAGGTGGCATTACTGTATATTTTTCATGCTGTATTTTATTTTCTCCTTAGGTTACACATTTGTTTGATAATGGAGGGACTGTCTTCTTTGCTATTTTTATGGCAATATGGGGTAAGTCAATTTTATTTCCTTACGTGTAGTTCACTTGCTTTTCTATAGATGACCATTCAATTTTACTTAAATAATTTTAAGAATATGGTCTTGGCAAATATCAGTGTGTTGATATTTTAAATGAATGTTTATACTGATGGAAGATTGAAAATATACCAAGCTGACTTTTGTACCAAACAGTGACCAGAAAAGGAAATAAGTAGGGGTACACTAATAGAGGTTTTTGGGACTGATAACAATAGCTAATTTTTAAGAAGGCTTATTGGCTGATACTGATCTGATTTCTGACTCAGCCCAGCAGCTTGAAGAGCAGTGACTGGTAAGTCTGTTGTGGTGGAAGGGGAGGGGGGAGGGAAGGGTGTGGGGGGATAAATCAAGGCCCCCGTGGTAAGGGGGAGCATGGGGCTGGGGCAGGCGCTGCCCAGTCAGGGTGGAGCAGGGCATAGGACAGAGCTCCGGCTCATCCAGAGGGTGTGAGAAGAGAGGGAGTGGCTTCTGCTGCTGCATGCACTCCAGGAGGGCATAGGGGATATGTGCACCCGAAACTGTTCAGGGCGGGAGTGGGCTGCTGCTGTCGACTGGGACTGTGGCTGTGCCAGGCTCTTCCTGGTGGGGGGCTGGGCCAGGCTATGCTCAGGGAAGGCGGTGGTGGCACTGGAAGGGGGGCTTCACAGGATGCTGCAGTCACCCAAAAATACACTGTAGATACCCCAACCCTCCCTCCACCACCTGCCCCAAGTGCAGCCCAACCCAGCCCCCACTGGGAAGACCCTGGCACAGCTCCAGCCTGCAGTGGCAGCCCACCCTCTCCCCATGCATCCTGGATGAGCCGTAGCTCCATCCCGTACCCGGCCCTATGCTGGCTGGGCAGCACCTGCCCCAGCCCCACTCCCTCTCTCACTGTGGGGGCCTTGATCTGCCCCTCCATACACTTCTTTCCTCCCCCCTCCCCTTCTACCACAACAGACTTACCAGCTGGATGCAACTTTCCAAGCTGCCAGGCTGTGCTCCTCGCCACCAACACACTGTGCTGTGGCTGCGTGCATGCACGGGGCATTTATTGGCCGTGTTATCGGCCACATCAAGCAAAAAAAAATTTCCAATACAGTGAATTTTCTTTGTCAGTGCCGATCTGATGTTGGACCGATGTATCAGTGCACCTCTAGAAATAATGTTGTTAATCTGTGTTTTATGCCATGTAGGTGTAATTTTAGAAGAATCCACTCATAGTGGGTCACTTACAGAGACAAAATGTGGATCATATCTGAAGATAATTTTATACTGAGTATCCCGTTTGGCAAAAACAAATACACAAGCAACTTAAATACAAAATTGAGATAATCTCTGGGTGTATAGTCCTGCAGTGTGCACGCTTACAGTGTTTTCAGCAGTGCCAGTTGTCTGTTGACTCTACATCTTGCTGCTGTAGGCTCACAGTGGAATGGTTCCAATGATTATTTGGTTACATAAATATCTAAGTACCTTTTATCCTTAGTAGCCATATGCTTCATCGTTCTACTTGTAGGCATGTGGTGCCCACTTCAGTTCTTTCTGTCATTCATGTGGTACTTGGGACAGTTTGTTCAGCACCAGCATTCAAAGTAAAGAAAAAAAATCCACTTGAGCTATTCTGGATCCTCCCTCAATCCTAAGGAAATTTTCTCTGCTATGGAAACACTGGTAGCTTCTTGAGACACCCCTTTTTAACTCTTGCTCCCTGTGATGCTTGCTATAGGATAGAATAATAATAGAATAATATAGATGGCATAAAGAGGAAAATCCGTTTCTGTTCATGACCAGTGTCCTGACTGTTGTGGTTTCATGGAAGATCCAGCATTATGATGAAGACTTTAATTTCATTTTCCAATAGTCAGAGTTTACCAGTGCACTGAGTGCAAATCCAAAACTTCATCTGTCGGTGATGAACACAATCTGATTCAGTAGCCTTGTTTTCTTGTAATATGCATATGAATGGTAATATTCTCAGGGGGTGCTTATGGATATAGCTCTTTTGACTTGGCTCACATACATGCTAAATGATACACGTTAAAAGATCTACAATCAAGAGCATGTCCCATGTATTTGGACCCTTAATCTTTGAGAACTTAATCATCCTGTGGTTCTTACTGGTAATGTTCTGCTTTCCTAAAGTTTTTTAGATATGTAAAGATCTTAGTGCTGGATATAAATAGATAAACTGTACTATTTCCTTTCATTACATCACTATGATTTTATAGACACTGAATGAAACCAGCACACTTCCCTGGATTCTTTTGTGCTTTTTTCCCAAAGGAAATCTATTTCCTTCCATTTGGAGGTAATTATTCCTTCCATGTAGCCCATCAGAATATGTGCTGCATCACTTCTTCAGCTCTTAATCCGCAATGCAGACAATGCACTGGCTGATACAGAGAAGTAACAACATTCCTCTTCATTCATTCAGCCTCCCTTCTATAGTATTTTTAACTATATCAATATTAGCAAATACTTCCTATGTTTCATTTTTCAGCAAAAATTCACTT